TGGCCCCCCCCCCCCGCAGGCAGCTGAGTCTAGTGCTGAGTATCTGTGCGGGGCTCAGTGTGCTTGGCCACCCCCAGCAGGCAGCTGAGCCTTGGAGAGGCCAAACTCCGCCCATCCTTTGCACTCTCAGCCTGCTCCTCCTCCAGTGTTCTCTCCCTAAATGTCATCGCCATCGCCATCGCCCAGCTGCCCAAGCCAGAAACAGAAGGGACGCTCACGTCCTCTCTCCTCCGCCCCCACCACAGGCGGCCACCAAGTCCTGGTCCTCTCCAGCCTCCCCTGACCTCCCCGCAGGCCATCGAGCAGCCCCGATGATTCTGTTTCCTCATTTGAGCCAGCTCAGCCCTTTGTGTGCAGGGGGTGCATCCCATGGACCTCTGGCTGCGGGCCAAAGTCTTGAACCGTAAGAGCAAGGCCAGGCCAGGCCACTGAATCCCCAGGGTGTATCACAGGGCCTGGTATACAGTAGGCATTCAATAAATACTAGCTGGCTGGAGGACGGACGAACGCATGAATGTATGTATGTGCTGGCAGGAATAACACTAATGATAGCACAGGCACACAGCACCCACTACCTGCCCGGCCTTGTTCCAAGCCCGTACATGGATTAACTCATTTCATGCTCACAACAGCCCTATGTGCTAGCATTTGTTATTTCCGCAGTTTTACAGGGAGGTTATGTAACTCACCCAAGGTCACACAACAAATGCTCAGCAGAGACTCAAACAGGACGCAGGACCACAAGAGCAGTAACCAATGAGAAAAGCTCCCAGCCCTGCTATGCTTACCCCAGGCACCTTCACACCAAGTCCTAAGGGAAGGCTCGAGGCACAGGGAGTTAAGACTCTTGCCCAAGGTCATACAGCTGTAAATAGGACTTCTTTGTTGATGAATAAACAGATGTCCAGTTGACGGTGACTTTGGTTGGGGAGGGCTGCTCTCCTGGAGTCTTATTTCTGGGGGCCCTGATGAACAAAAGTTCTGAGCTTACGAGACTGGGGACCAGGCTATGGCAATGAGGTCACAGGGAAGCCTGCCAGTGAGGTGGGCGTCCGGCCACCAGCTCCTGCCTCCTGTCTCCTCAGGCCCTGGCTTCAGACTCTTGAACCCACCCAGGGCAGAAGCTTTCAACCAGCTGGCTGACTGTAGGGCAGTGCCTCGGGCCTGCCAGCTGGGTGGGGTGAGAGAGACCGAGCCACCAGAACCCGGGGGAAGACCCCGACCTCTGTCGCCCCCAGAGCAGCTCTGCTTTGTCCAGGGCCCTGAGGGCGCTTTCAAACGGAAAAAAGGCTCTGCAGTCAAAACAACTTTCGAAAATCAGTGCCTTACGGGGATAAACATCCTTGTCAAGCAAAGTAGCCTTTTTGAGTCTCCCCTGGTGACATTCAGGGGCTCAGGAGGGTGAGAGTCTCTGACGCTGTCAGCCAAGTCCAATGTCAAGGCCACCCTGACCGTTTGTGGCCACAGGTCCCGGCTCCACACACCTGCCCTGGACGTGCCCCTAAGCTGGGGGCCTGTTTGTCTTTTTTGGGCATTCGCCCACATGGCTTCTCATGAGTGGAATAAAAAGAACCACCTATGACAAGCAACGTGTGCAGCGTGTCTGTAACCTTACTACAGACCTGTCAGGTATCATTATCCCCATCCTAGGGAGAGGAAACTGAGGTTCCGAGGAAAGAAATGACTCACCCCAGCACTCAAAGCCAGGTTGGTCTGACTCCAAAATATTTTTTCCGCTGCACCCCTGCCTACCACCCCCCACCCCACTGCCTCTTGCCCTCCTCACCTACATTCAAATCCTGCCCACATTCAGGGCCCGGCTGCTCTTCTAATACGCCCCATACCCAACTCGTTCTTACTCATGTTCCCAACCCACCCCCCGCTGTTTGTAAATGCCATCAAACACATTGCCCTTCTCCCATAACCCCCCTTCACCCTGCTGACTCCTTCACACTCTTTGGGAATCTGCTTGGGCGTCACCTCTTCCGGGAAGCCCTCCCTGGATGCCTGGCTGGGTCAGGAGCCTCTGGGTCCCTCCTCTGAGTTTTCCCCATCAGCCAATGGCTCTGTCTTGCGGTCATTTGCTTTTCTGCATCTCAATGGGGCCCCAAGTTGCTGGGAGCAGGGTCCAGGTCCCCTGTGCTCACCACTATATCCCGCACCAGCGTGGTGCAAGGCACACACTAGGTGCTCAATAAACACCTACTGAATGCGTGGCCTTGTGAGCGCAACAGGCAGCCTCCACGTCCACCTCCTGGCAGGTGCTGGGCACAGCGCACATCCCGGCCGCCTAGCCCTCTCCCTGCCTCTCACAGGAAGCCTTCTCCATCTCCTCCACGCCTGTCCAATTCCCACCCCACATCTCTTTCATTCACTCAACACATCTTTGAGCACCGACTAAGCCAAGGTGGCGTGAGGGAAGCATTTGAAAGCGGAACACGGGAAGGGATGCATCGCCCTTCTTCCCCACTGTGCCCACCCCGTGGTGCTCACCAGCCACAGGGACACAGCGCACCATCGGCTCCCGCCCCTTGTATGCACCAGGCTGATTCTGAGGCACCGTTGGCTGCCCGCCTGCCCACCTGCCCACCCTTGCTCGCCCGACCCACGGCCCCTTCCTCAGCCCCGGCCCCGCCATACCCGGTTGATGAGCTCGCCGACCATGCCCGTCCAGGAGCCGTTGGGCTCGGGCGCCCCGTATAGCCCGTCCTCCACCAACCGCAGGCGGTAGCGGAAGCGCAGCAGCTCGGCCAGCTCCCGCAGCATGTCCACACAGAAGCCCTCAAAGCGTTCGTTCCCCGACAGGGCCTGGAAGTTGGGCCGGCGCATGACGTACGGGTTCTCCTGGGGAAGCAGGAGAGAAGGGGTGGAGGGGTCAGAGACTGGGGCATCTGGGGGCTGGGTCGTGGGTCCCAGGGCCCAGGCTGCAGCCAGATCAGGAACCTGCCCGCAGAGTGGAGATGACGGAGTCCTTGCCCTCATCCCCTGCTTACAAATGCTCAGAGCCGGTGGCGGGGGCATGTAAATTAGGAGGCTGGGATTAACATATACACACTGCTGTATATAAAATAGATAACCAACAAGGGCCTACTCTATGGCGCAGGGAACTCTACTCACATTTTGTAATAAGCTATAAGGGAAAAGAATCTGAAAAAGAATATATGTATATGTACATACATATATATGTATAACCTGAAACTAACAACACTGTAAATCAACTATACTTCAATTTAAAAACTGAAACTAAAAATAACTATCAAAACAAAAACAAATACTCAGAACCAGGGAAAAAGCACAGGGACCCTGCCAGGCCCTAGCAGACCGCAGGAAACTGGTTTGATCTCCACCAGACAACCTCATCTCAAGCTCAAATGGCTACAAGGGAGGCAGGTAACTTGAATGAATCAGACTGGATGGAGATCTTGCCAAACTTTCAAACTTTTGGCTAAAACCCGCAGTAAGATATATATATTTTACTTGTAATCCAAGTCATACACATATGTCTGTGTGCTCACAGTTGCACACATGCAACTAGACTTAGTTCCACAAAGCAGTCCTTTCCCTTAAGACTATGGCAGAATACCCTGCTATTTTCCATCCTGCTCTACTTCATTTTTCTACACAACCAACAACAACCCATTAAACTGACTTCATGAGCCACCAAGGGATCAAAGAGGATTTAGCTCCAGCCCAATGCTGCCACAAGGGAAGCAGGCCTGAGATGCCAGATGGTCCAATGTCAAGAGAATTTGGAAACCCAGGATGTTTTGTAAAATCTCCTGATTTTAAAGGTTAGCAACAGTTCAAATTCTAATACCAATTTTTTTTTTTTAATGCTTTGCAGGCTAAACAAACACCTGACAGTTTGCAATCTCTGGCCTACAGCTGTTTTGCTATGTTGATGCTTATTTCTGAGGGGTTTGAGCACACTTTACCGACCCTTTTTGTGCCAAATAAGGACAAAAGCAGAGAGAGCATATTCCAAGTGCTAGTAAGACGAGGTATATGAGGATGATGGTAACAAAAGGGGTCCTTATCTTACATAGCTATTGTCTAAATGGTTGTTTGTACAGTGTCACTTTGGACTTAGGAATAAAACGAGTTAGGACTTAGGAATCAGCAAGAAGACCTTTGGCAATAATACCCATATGGTTACCATGTGGACTGAACACCTGCGAAGTACCAGCCCCTGGGCTGTGTGCGTTCTCTGGATTTTATCAATTTAATTCCTCACAGTGGGAATTCCCTGGCCGTCCAGGGGTTAGGACTCCACGCTTTCACTGCCGAGAGCGCAGGTTCAATCCCTGGTGGGGGAACTAAGATCCTGCAAGCTGTGTGGCGTGGCCATTAAAAAAAAAAAAAAGGGGCTTCCCTGGTGGCGCAGCGGTTGACAGTCCGCCTGCTGATGCAGGGGACACGGGTTCGTGCCCCGGTCTGGGAAGATCCCACATGCCGCGGAGCGGCTGGGCCCAAGAGCCACGGCCGCTGAGCCTGCGCGTCCGGAGACTGTGCTCCGCAACGGGAGAGGCTACAACAGTGAGAGGCTCGTGTACCGCAATAAAAAAAAGAAAAAAAATTCCTCACAGTGACCTTCCACGGGAGGTATCCTTAGGCTCACTTTACACATGTGGAAGCTGAGGCTCACAGAGGTCAAGTGACCTCTGCCACCTCTCATTCATTCAGCACAAAATTACTGAGCTCCAAGGTAGATGCCCAGTATTTTGCAGCTCCTCCCGTCAAGAGATAGAGCGGGGCTTCCCTGGTGGTGCAGTGGTTGAGGGTCCGCCTGCCGATGCAGGGGACACGGGTTTGTGCCCCGGTTCGGGAGGATCCCACGTGCCACGGAGCGGCTGGGCCCGTGAGCCATGGCCGCTGAGCCTGTGCATCCGGAGCCTGTGCTCCGCAACAGGAGAGGACACAACAGTGAGAGGCCCGCTTACCACAAAAAAAAAAAAAAAAAAAAGAGAGAGCGGATTTCTCCACTCCTTGGGTCTGAGCGGCCCTCGAGACTTGCTTTGGACAACAGAATGCGTTGGAAGTAGTGCTGTCTGACTTTCAGAGCCTGGGCCCTCAGAGAGATCTCTTGGGACCCCAGTGTAAGGAAGCCCGGGCCAAGGACTTCCCCGGTAGTCCAGTGGTTAAGAATCCACCGTCCAATGCAGGGGATGTGGGTTTGATCCCTGGTCAGGGTACTAAGATCCCACATGCCGCAGGGCAACTAAGCCCACGCACTGCAACTACTGAGCCTGCGCACTCTGGAGCCCATGCGCCACAACAAAAGATCCCGCGTGCTGCAACTAAGACCCGACGCAGCCAAATAAATAAATATTTTTTTAAAAAAAAAGGAAGCCCAGGCCAGCCTGCTGAAGGATGAGGGAGAATGGGTGAACCGAGATGTGCCGGCCAACAGCCCAGCCTAGACACCAGCTGAATGCAACCACGGTGAGCTCAGCAGAACTGCTTAGTTGGCCCACAGAACTGTGGGAAATAATAATCGTTATTGTTGGAAGCCTCCAGGTTTTGGGGCGGTTTGTTATACAGTGATGGGTACTATAAGGTACCTATAGACTAGATTCCAGGACCCCAACAAAGTCTCAGAGCTGAGGGGAGATGGGATGGAGGGAAGTCAGTGCTTTTCTCTCCCTCCCAAACCACATTTTCAAATCCAAAACTGTGGAACCAGGAATAGGAATGAGATAATACTAATAATAGCAGCAGCAGCTAGCATTTCTTGTGGGCTTGCTGTGTGACAGCTATTCTGTCAGCGTAGGAGGTCAGTATTATTACCTCTATTTGAGAGATGAGGACACAGGTCCCGAGAAGTGAAGTAGTGAGTGGCTGAGATGGACAAGTCAGGCTGAGTCCAAAGCTCTGCTCTTAAGCCCTATGCCAGACTAAACAAGAGCGGAGCTGGGAGAAGCTAGACACAGAGACGGGGGGGCCTGGCCGGGTATCAAAGCTAGAGAATCAGAAATCAAGAATTCTCTAGACAAACACCCAGTGTTAGAGCTGGAAGGTGCTCATACAGTCCTCTTGATGTACATAGGAGGAAACCGAAGTTCAGAGAGGTCAGGTGTTTTGCCCAAGGTCACACAGCTGAAGCAGGGCAGTAGGAAGGGGAGATTGGGCAGAGCTGGGATTCAAAACCCAGTTGCTGTGCTCTCCAAAGCCCTTGTTCCTTCCACCAGGCCAAGCTGATCTTCAAACTCAAGACTGAGGCACCTGGGTTCTGGATTTGGGTTTGAGGCCTCAGGATCAGGTGGGAGCTGATAGAGCCAAAAACAGGGACTGAGGCCTGTGAACAGAACGCTAGGTCAGAAAACAATGATCTATCGCTCAACCTGCAGCCCCAGACCATCAGATCCAAGGGTTTTAAGAAGCCTCTAATCCAAGGTTTTCAGATTTCTTCAAAAAGAATCTTCTGCAGAAGCCCAGCATTGCAGATGGACAGTGGGATGTTGCTAAGTCTGATTCTAAGAACTCATCCTACGAATGGCTATGCACCTGTACACAAAAATGTAGGTCCAGGAGAATCATGGCAGCATTTCTTGTATCAGGAACAAAGACTGAAACAGCCTAATTTGGAACAGGTTAAAAAGATTATTGATGTCATCAAAGAATCCCAGGCAACTACTAAAATAAGTTCTATAAGATATATTCAGAGGAAAAAAACAAGCTACAGAACAACGTGTACAATATGCTATCCTTTGTGAAGGAAAAAGTGGGTATGGGCTCGTACATGCTCAGACATATCTGGGAGGATGGGGGAAAAAATGGGGGACTGGAGAGGGAAGGGGACGGATTTTTTCACTCCCCCCCCTCCCCACACGCTTTGAATTCTATTTAGTGTAGAATTAAACTGAGTGCTACTTAATTCTATTTAATTAACTTCTGTCCTGCCCCCAGTTTAAAATATTAATATTAAAATATTTCTAAAATTTTAGAGATGATATTTAAATGCATATGGAAATGTAAAAGATCAAAAGAACCAAAGCAATCCTAAAGAAGAACATGAAAACTGGAGGATTTACCCTACTGGGTATTAAGACAATTTAAAACTGTGGTGTTATGAAAGAATGCTCAACATCATTAATTATTAGAGAAATGCAAATCAAAACTGCAATGAGGTATCATCTCACACCGGTCAGAATGGCCATCATCAAAAAATCTAGAAACAATAAATGCTGGAGAGGGTGTGGAGAAAAGGGAACCCTCTTGCACTGTTGGTGGGAATGCAAATTGATACAGCCACTATGGAGAACAGTATGGAGGTTCCTTAAAAAGCTAAAAATGGAATTACCATATGACCCAGCAATCCCACTACTGGACATATACCCTGAGAAAACCATAATTCAAAAAGAGTCAGGGACCAAAATGTTCATTGCAGCTCTATTTACAATAGCCAGGTCATGGAGGCAACCTAAGTGTCCATCAACAGATGAATGGATAAAGAAGATGTGGCACATATACACAATGGAATATTACTCAGCCATAAAAAGAAACGAAATTGAGTTATTTGTAGTGAGGTGGATGGACCTAGAGTCTGTCATACAGAGTGAAGTTAAGTCAGAAAGAGAAAAATACTGTATGCTAACACATATATATGGAATCTAAGAAAAAAAAAAAAGGTCATGAAGAACCTAGGGGTAAGACGGGAATAAAGACACAGACCTACTAGAGAATGGACTTGAGGATATGGGGAGGGGGAAGGGTAAGCTGTGACAAAGTGAGAGAGCGGCATGGACATATATACACTACCAAACGTAAAATAGCTAGCTAGTGGGAAGCAGCCGCATAGCACAGGGAGATAGCTTGGTGCTTTGTGACCACCTAGAGGGGTGGGA